CGAACTCCTGGCAGTAGGAAGAGGTAGCCTGCAGTGCTGCATTCTAAACACTATACCACCATGGTTTCCTAGAGAATCACAAACCAATTAAACAAACTAATTGTCTCCTGCAAACTCCACTCCCCTTTTGCTCCTCTATTATTTCCTCTGGGAGGGGGCCATTCATCGTCCACCACCTATGACTTTACTCCCAAGTTGATCCTGTTCTTTAGCTGTTCCCTTTGTCTGGCCATTCTATGCATGCGCACACTGGGAACAGGCTCCAGCTGTTCATCTGCCTCACTGATGTCTGACTCTGAAGGCAGCTGATAACTGGCATATGGCTCTGGCCCCCTCTCTGCCTCCAACACAGAGCACCTTATCAGAGCCTTACCCAGCCTCCAGGACTGGCCCATTTCCTCCCCAACCTCCTCATTGTCCGAATTTGCTGCCAGCTCCGTTAGCCATTGGCGGGCCACAACTGACTGGCTCAAAGTCACTCAGCTGACTTTCATGGCTAAGGCAGGTCTTGAATTCACAGCTTCTGGCTTTCTAGCCTGGTATCTTAACCGCAGTAGGGAAACTTTCAGTGGGTCAGTTTGAAAATGGTGGCCTACTGTTGCAACGCTAAAGTAAAAAGGATTTATTTTTCTCCCCTCTCTTAATAACGAAAACATAGCTGCTATTTTAAGCCAAAGGACCCATCATAATTTTAGGAATGCAACCTAGAACAGAACTATTAAATTAGGACAGTGCTGCATTGTAACTTCAGCTTAGATACCCAAATTTAAGCTCAAAGAATTTGCTGGTCATTGAGCGAATAAACATTACTGTGACTGTCTGACTGAAACAAACACAGAGAAGTTTCCACATTAGGCATGTTTTTCTCTCTGGATAATTCCCTAAATTGCTGGTATGTCATTGGGCTGTTCCGTTGTAAATTAACCCTGCCCTTGGCCTTTCGTCATTTGTTAAAGCAATGGCAAAAGTTTTCAATAGTTCCTCTTTTGAAGTTGCCAAAGATAATCACCCCCCCCCCCCCGATGTCACCTCTTTCCCAAAATGTCCCTAGAGCAGAGACCATGTTTCCCCAAAAATTGGACCCTGTCTTATATATATTTTTTGCCACCAAAAAAGGCACCTGATCTTATTTTTTTGGGGGGGGGATTTTTGTTGTGAGAAACTTCTGCGGTCACCAAGGCTTTCCTGAAGGCCTCTGCAGCCGATAACAGAGCTCTGGATCGATCCGGAGCTCTGTTATCAGCTACAGCAGCCTTCAGAAAAGTCTTGCTGGCTGCAGAAGAAATGGACCAGTGAGGCAGGTGTCGGGGTGTGCGAGGCCCGGCTACAACTGTACATAAGTAAGTAGTAGAGCAGCTCTCCCCGCCCTCTGCCCCCATCCCCACCCTACCTTAATTTTTACCTGCACTCTGGTGTCGGTGGGGATCTTAATTAGGGTGTCAGGTTCCGAAGGGTTAATGAAAAGGTGAAGTGTAGCTATAAAAGGTGGTGGGAAGCTCTGACAATTTATTCATTGCCTTAGTGCTTTGTTGGTCAGTTCCTGACGAAGAAAGAATACAATCTGCATTTCAAACTGTTTCTGTGTTTGGCTGGTTTCATTAACCCTTCGGAACCTGACCTAGGGCTTATTTTGGGGAGGTAGGGTTTATATTGGGCGCACATGTAAAAATCAAGCTAGGACTTACTTTCAGGGTAGTTTCTATTTTCGTGGAAACGGTATATTTAGCCAAGAGAAACTGGTCATCTCTTCTCCCCCCCCCCCCCATTCAGGGGTGGGTTGCTGCCGGCATCATTGCTGGTTTGGCACACAGAATTTTTTTTGGCTCCTCGTGCATGCATATTTGCACATAAAAAGGTCTGTGCATGCGCAAAACTTTAAAAATCAAATAAAATTACATTTCTGCCAAGAAAGTTGTTCTGTGCATGTGCAGAGCCAAAAATCAAGATAGGAGAACAGTTCGGGGGCGTGGAAGGAAGGGCAGCTCCAACCCTCCCCCAATCCCCACCCTCGCTTATTTTTTACCCGTGCACTCTGGAGTGGGCGGAATCTTAATTAGGGCTTAGTATGGGCACACGTGTAAAAATCAAGCTAGGACTTAACTTTTGTATTTTCAGGGAAACGGGTGCTAGTTCTTACCCAGGCTGATAGTCTTTTACCGATGGACAGGAATGGACCATTAAAATGAAGTCGATTAAAGAAAAGTGTACTCAGGACGATAACAGCCTTTTTCTCATTCGGCAGTGACTCTGACAGGAGCCAGACAGTTGACGGGATATGGACGTTTCAGCCATTTGTTCCCAACTTCTTTTTATCAACACATCAAGATGCACAAGAGAATCCTGGGCCATTTATCATCTGTGTATTGCATAGCGTTTGATCGTGCTGGGAGACGAATTTTCACTGTGAGTGGAACAGAACTGAAATATTCCGCAATGTTGAATAATTTTGCCATGCTATTTCTTTTTAATAGCTTCTCGTACCATACGGGGTTTTTACCTTGAATTTGTAAAATACGTTTTCTAAAATGGGGTGGCGTTACTGTATCCTTATTGGCTTCAGAAAGCGACTTCCGTTAAAATGTTTCAAATACTGAATCCTACAAATAAACGTTATTTGTTTGTTAGTTACTGTTGCCAAAATTGAGAAACTCTACCGTATAAGAGTCTTCGGGGAAAATAGTGGCATTTCTGCATGCTAGACTTTGGGGTTTGAAATGGTCTGACTGGTATAGGGCCGTGATGCTGAACTTATGGCACACCTTCCAGAGGTGGCACGCAGAGCTCTCTCTGTGGGCACATGCACCATCGCCAGTCACGGTGCTGGAGTGCCGGAAAACGGCTCAAAAAATGACCTGAAAATGGCCCGTAAAACAGCCTGAAAACGGCCCCCCAAAACAGGCAAAAAATTGGCATGCGTGTGCCGGCCAGATGGTCTTTGGGTTTCCTGCGCATGCGCATGCATTCCAGTTTGGGCCCTTGGTGCTGAAAAGATTTGCCATCACTGGTATAGGGTGTCAAGGTTCCAAGTACTACATCCCACTCAATAAGAACTCCGAGGCAGGCAAATTCCTTGAACATTTTATCGGGACATATCAAATTGGCACGTTTCTGGTGGAAAACCGGTTTTAAGTTCCTGCTGGTTTTACACCCAATTAAAAGTAAAACTTTGTCACTTCCCCCCAGAGTCTCCAGTCCCATCGTCTAATCAGTGTACAGACGAATTGCTGGGTGACCTCAGTCTCCAACATTTGAACACCTGCACCAATGTCCTCCATTCCCAGGGGGAAGAATTTTATTTAGGCTAAATACCCCAGCTATCTCTACAGCCCACCCACCCACTATCCTGGCCCCTTCAGCTGTGAGACGAGAAACTTCCCTAAAGAAAACTAACAAAAAGGAAATGGCCACAGTTCAGCCAACTTCAGGGTTGACATGGGGTTTCCTGCTTGAGTAGAGGGTTGGACTAGAAGACCTCCAAAGTCCCTTCCGACTCTTTTATTCTGTTTTGTTTTGTTTTTTTGCATGAAACATTAGGGTTCAGATGATTGCTTGGTGAAAATTTGGGCTACGGATAACGGGCGCTTGCTTTCAACCCTCCGAGGACATTCAGCTGAAATTTCTGACATGGCTGTCAGCTATGAGAATACCCTCCTTGCTGCAGGCAGTTGTGACAAGGTGGTCAGAGTCTGGTGCCTTCGAACTTGTGCACCAGTGGCGGTGCTGTTGGGCCACTCGGCTTCCATTACTTCCATACAGGTGAGAGAAGGAAGGATTTCCTAAACTGCGAGAATTAAAACTGCATTTCCTTGCTATCTCTGAGTTAATAATCTTCAAACTGTTTTTGGCATCGTCAGATCACTTGCTCTTTGAATATTCTTGTCTGATCTGATCTGATCTGAATATGGTCCATATCAAAACAGTAACTTTTTTGTGTAGCAAATGGCCGCTGTTAACATTTTTGTAAAAGTATATGAAGAAAGTTTTTTGCCTGTTTATTACAACTTTTGTTCTTTTGATTTTTAGTTTTCCTCTGCAAGAAAAGGAACAACTCGATACCTCACTTCTACTGGTGCTGATGGAACAATTTGTTTCTGGCAATGGCATTTAAACACCATGAAATTCAAGTACGTTGTTTTATTTGATCTATCATGTTGGGTTTTGCGACTGAGCAGTAATGCTGTATAAGTTTCAATAGGGATGATAGCATTTATTAGAATCCCCAGAATGCTGCAATAAAAGAGATAAAAGGTAAAAAAAAATGTGCATTATAATTAAGTGTAGCATCACCTGAGAATGAAGACAGACCAACAATCTGAATTCTTCTGGTTCTTTCTGATTATAACTCATATAAACCTTTCCACTGAATTTGCTGGCTCAGGCATGTAGATGTTAAAATCCCAGATGTCTGAAGGGTACAGAATTTCTCGGATAAATTGGAAAAATGTGGAAATGGAAAGCATAACTCTGTTTGAGCAAATGAAAATATCCAGTTTATCTCTTTATGTATTTTTGGATGAAAAACATGTAATTACCAATTCAATTGGCTGCCCTTACATATCTTGATCCATCTGTTTGACTGAGTTTTGGTTGAGTGCAGTGTTTCTCAACCTTGGCAATTTTCAGTTGGGTGGACTGAACCTCCCAGAATTCCCCAGCCAGCATGCTAGCTAGGAGTTCTGAGAGTTGAAGTCCACATATATTAAAGTTGAAAAAGTTGAGAAACCTGGTTTAATGCAACGTGTGAACCAAGTAATTAGATCTTGAGACACTTGAGACAGATTTCTCAGCCCCGTTCCCTAAAATCTTTTTAACTTGACTGCCTTGATCCTATTTGAATATTTCTTCATAACAGGATCTTACCAGGGGCGATAAAGATTTGTCTTGGTTTTTTTTTTCCTGCAAAGCATGGTTTCCACAATAAAGCAATGCTGCCTCTTCAAATGGAAGTTTCAAATCTTTTTTCTCCATGCGTACCACATCCAAACATTAGGTAGAATGTGATGCTTCTGAGAAGAAATTAAGGATGTTACAAAAAGACTAGCTAAATTCTTGGAAAGTAAATCTGTTCTGCAGAACTGATCAGCTAATGTACAATCATACTAAAGTTTTATCGTATTGGAGTCCTGAGAATCCAAAAAACAATGAAATCTTGATGTGTTAAGGAATCCAGCTAACAGTTCAATACAATCTAGGGATACTCCAAACTGGGTTTGTTGATACAGGAAATTGAATGTAGAATTGAAGTCTCTTTGCATTGTCTAATATAAAATAATTAAAATGTTGTCTCATAACTTCAGGGATCGGCCAGTGAAATTTACAGAGAGATCCAGACCTGGTGTTCAAATATCTTGTTCCTCTTTTAGTTCAGGTACGTATAAATAGAAACCAAATAGGAATGTGTGAATTTGTATGAGGAATAGTTATATTTTTGGGGAAAATTGGAAGCGTGAAGAGATCCCTACAGAGGAGAATGTGATTAGGAAAATATTAGAATGTGCAGAAATGAGCAGATTGACACTGGCTATCAAAAAGAGAAAGAACAAACTGATTGTTATACAATTTGGGAATCTCTTTACCGGTGGTTAAAGAATAGACATAAGAATTAATAGTAAAAGAAGTTATGTAATGTATAGAAAATGTATTAATAGTTTATATAATTAATAGAGTTAAATCAAAATGAGGATTGTTATAGTATCAGACACTTAAGGTATTGGAATTAAGCTAAGAGGAGATTAAATAATGAATAAGATTGTAAAATTTAATTGTTGGCACAAAAGAAGAGGGAGTCAAACTATTCTCCAAGGCACCTGAGGGTAGAACAAGAAGCAATGGGTGGAAACTAATCAAGGAGAGAAGCAACTTGGAATTGAGGAGAAATTTCCTGACAGTGAGAACAATTAATCAGTGGAACANCATGACGGCAATGTGACACCACAAGCCTGCCATCTGTGCTTTACACAATTTAACTGGTGAAGCAGCTTGTTTCCTTTTATTTATACCTGGTGGTGTCCCTAGCACCTCCTCCTATAATTTTCCAGAAGAGCCACCTTGTGAGAAAGGGACTCCAGTTGAGCGAAAGGGACTGGATCAAGTCTGCATGGTGGCTGAAGGCACATTTGCACAGGGTTCCCTGGTCCAGTCACTGCACCATTCATGAAATATGAGAAAGTCTGGACTTTCTTTCTTTCTTGGCTGCCTTAACTGTGCTTTGAATGAGATCGAAATCTCATCCCTATGGATACTTGGAAAGTTGTGGAGGACAGAATCCAACCGTTCATACAACATAATGCATATAATGTGCCTTTTTAAAATTTAATTTGCCCTAATCCTTTACCAAAACCTCAAGTGAATGTTGGCTATCCTTTTCTTCGGGGAAGAATGTTAGACGAACGTTTTTCTGTGGTTATGTACTGTTAGTTGTTATATGCATAGATTCCAAGTGTCTAACAACTATTAGAAGGATGCGGTGGCTTAGTGGCTAAGATACTGAGCTTGTTGATCAGAAAGGTTGGCGGTTCGAATCCCTAGCGCCGCATGATGGAGTGAGCTCCCATTACTTGTCCCAGCTTCTGCCAACCTAGCAGTTCGAAAGCATGTAAAAAATGCAAGTATAAAAATAGGAACCACCTTTGGTGGGAAGGTAACAGCATTCTGCGTGCCTTCAGCATTTAGTCATCAAGAAAAGTCAGTGGCGGAAATCTGATTCTTTTAACAACGATAAGATTCACTGCAATGATCCGCTTAACAACCGTTGCCCCAAAAGTTCGTAAAATCGGACATGTCTCTCTTAACTGCCTTGCTTAGCAATGGCAATTCTCGCCCTGGCGGTGGTCATAAGTCGAGGACTACCTGTAATGCTTTCTACCTTGACTTCTCTTTGCCTCTCTCAAATTCAGGTTGGACGTAAGGAATGCCTGCTGATGCTTTTTTATTTTTAAAAATATTCAGGTAGCAGCCAATGCTCACATCCCCCCAGATTACCTCCTCAAAATTTGTGAGCGAATTGGACCTCTGTTAGATAAGGAGATCCCACAAAGTGTACTCGGAGTGCAAACTTTACTAGGAGTGGGACGGCAGTCTTTACTAAGGGCAGCCAAAGGTAAGTCATTGTTCTTTTATTTATATTCCACCTTATAGAGGCAAGGAAAGCAACTTGCAGCCAAAGTCACGTACAATAGAACGAACTGTAAACAGTTGAAGCATTATTTTTTAACTGCACCCCTCTTCCGACAAGTTAATAACAGTGTAACTTAAATGGTACATAAAAACTTTAAAAAGGCATGGAAAAGGGGTCTTTTGGAAACATGGATTTTCTGAAATGTCTTGCTTTTTGAAAAAGGAACTAAAACCGTTTCCTGCAAACAACTTGATGGAGAAGAAAGGGATGGGAAGGAGCAGGGAAGGCGTACCCACATTGATAGTTTTGAGCAGGAAAAAAATAATAACTGGGCTGCAGAGGCCAAGTCCTCAGGTCAAGATTTTGACCCTCTTAGCGGATTTAGGGAAAGCTCCGCTGTTTCCGGCTCCAGATGCCTTTAGATGTGTTGTTGCTCCTGCCAGCTATCTTAGTCAGTTGGAGTCAGCAAACCACCAAAAAGTATTTTCACTCGCACGGTGCCATGCGCTTCCATTGGCCGTCCTGTACGGCAAGTCTAAAAGGATGCCATTGACAGGTTGGAGAAGAAGAAAGGAGTTTTGAAATGAAGAAAACTAAAAAACTAAGTAGACAATACACTTAGATCAAGATATGAAACGGTTAGTACGTGTATGATAAGAATAATGATGTTTAATGTTGATATATTATTACTAGAAGATAGTAAAAAGAAAAATGGAGGATTTTATAACGTTTAAATGCTCAATGTGTTATGATACTAAATTTAGGGAAATAATGTTAATATGAATGTGAAAGATGTGGCAAAAGAGGAACGATGTTGCCTAGAGATGTTTGTGCCCAGACAACACCCTGCACAAGGAAAGACGGAATGTTTATTTTTGTAATTGAAAAATAATAAAATTGTTTAAAACAGAAAAGGATACCACTGACGGAAAGACACTGTCCCTGCGGCTCAGGAGAGGTGGAGATCTGGTTCACATGCTCCTTAAATGTTATTTTATACAAAGATTAGGGGGGGGGGGATATTCTGCCAATAACTGCTAGGTATCCTGGCCACTCCGATACTACCTATCTCCAGTGGCTGCTTAAGGATGAACAGTCCTTCAGCACAGGTGGACAGATTCTGCACAGCAGTACTGGGGATTCATCGCAAACACGTGTCTTCCGTGACACGACAAAACCGCGCTCGTCAAAATAGCGGTTATAAAATTGCATCGCTAAAGCCGCGACGTCATCACCGCCGCGACAACAGTGCGGCAACAGAAGGGCGCTTTAAAACAGCGCGGCGGCAGAAAGCGGATTTAAATTAAGGTAAGGGTTAGGATTAGGTTTAGGGGTTTGTTTTAGGGTTAGGTTTAAGGTTAGGTTTAGAATGCTGAGTGCTTGGGAATGCGCGGATTTGCCCTCTGCGATTATGT